GGGAGTTGAAGTCCACTCATCTTAAAGTGGCCAAGTTTGGACAACACTGGCCTAAAGAAAGGAATGAATACCTGGTTCAGCCTCCCTGCTTTTGCTTCCAGTGTGTTTCCAACTTCCCCTGCCATGGCTAGCAATCCATGTATAAAAACTTTGCTTTTTAGGTAAGCCTGATTTCTAATAATGGGCAGTTTAACTTCCCAATTGAATCTACAGAGATATGACAAAGGAATTGTTTTGATGTATTGTATATATGAAGGTATTCTGTGACTTGCATGAAATGCCCAGCTCTGATTTGACTGAAAGGTGTGGAGGGATAGAATCATGCCAATGTAGTAGCTTCCCTAAAACAAAACAGAACTATAAAACTGGCATTATGACAGAGTCAAAAACTGGCAAGGGGGTAATAACTGCTCAGTGCAAATTAACAATGCCTCTCACCCAGGGCTTTATCAGTTTTAGACCTTTTAGTTGACAAAGGATCCTGCTCCATGCCTCTTCTTTTACATAATTCTTTCAATACACTCGTTCCTATAATACTAATTATAATGAGGTATAAATACTAATTATAGGAGTAGATGAAATGCAGTACTAATACTTCATTTACCCTTTTAACACAAGGGCTACAAACCTGATATACAAGTCTGCAGAGAGGGCTCTTCCAGTTTTGGGGAAATTTCTGACCTGTTACATATAACATGCTAAGCCACAGATTGCTTAAGCAGTTTGTTGAATAAGCCACAAGCTAGCTTCACATGCTGCACTGAACCATAAAACACAGTTCATAACTCACAATGTCTAGTTTTACACAAAACTACCTAACCCTACATTATTTAACTTGGAATGTGAATGCAGGCAGTGTTGCCTTTTTACCCATATAATACCTAAATTATGCTAGAAATGAGTAAAGTTACAAGGAAAAATAACTATTTTAAGGGCACTGAAGAACTAGTATTTCACATATTAACATTTAAGGAATACATATTGCTTTGTAAAGGAATGATCTGAAGATAATATAGTCTAGCAAGAAAAATGATTTGTGTAAAATTTAATTCTCAGTGTAGATATATTATCTACATTGGCAAGATTATTCAAAATGTTGCCAAGTTCTAGTTAAGCATATAAATAAATGGTTCGGAACATACAGCAATACATAATGTTCCACCAAAGTAAATCTATTCATGTGCTCAAATCTTATGATCAGGTCAATTAATCTTGGCAGGTGTATGCAAGGTGGGTTACACAACAACAAATTTACATTCAAATCCAACACAAACTTGCCTTGAGCACAAGTCTATAATTTCAATGGAACATCCTCCTTCCTCCCTTAAAATCTTAAGAAGTGGTCTGTAAAACAAGATAAGCAGAAATATTGACTCTTGAACACATTGGTCTCTCTGAAATTAGCTATTCTATCTGATAAACAAATTGTTATACAGGTAGCTCTATTTAATTCTTCCATGTAGGCATCATAAAATAAAGGGAAACACACAGAACAAAGGATTGAAACCACATGGGCACAAGCCACAGAAAGCATAGAACCTGTACAGGTAAGATACAGTTTGGTTGGCATTATTTCTACCTTTTCTGTAAGAGATCTGATATAATTATAGAAACAACAAATCAAAAATTGCAATTGCTAGACTTCAACATTTATAGAATGTGAGTAGTATCTTTATGTCCATTAAGATACTACCTCTAGAACAGAGTACAAAACCCACAATGTCTGTGGGACAAATTTACACAATTATCAGCCATGGGTTTCGGCCAGTGCCGGTTTGAACCTAAATCAGATTATTGTGGCTGATGATGCTTATGATAATGCTGCTGTCATGTACTAAACTGAACCCAGAAAGCAGATTACCAACTGAAGCCAAGTTCAGCATCTATAAGCAACACACACAATCTTGACAAAGTTCAGACATCAGCATTATGGCTGCCTTATAATGAGAAAACTGACTCAATTTCTGCACACAATAGGGGAGAACATTCTTCGCTTTTTTTTTTTTTTTGCTCTAATCCGAGTAAGCCGTATCAGCAGTATTTCCATATTTCCTCAATTCACATTAAATTTTGTGTTTTCTTCCCCTTGAATATTTAGGCAGCCTTAAGTGGGTTCTTCAGCTTTAAAAAGCTGATTAAAACTTTAACAATAATTATGCATGTTGTACATGCACATTTTCTTAAGAAATATGTATCCCATGTTTTCATTTTCTTCTCTTAAGAGCTTAGTTACATCATTCTCACAGAAACTAATGTAATGCTGCTCCCTGGTCCATACAGGGTCCTCCCAAGCAAAAAAGGCTGCTATTTTCATGGCCAGATTCTCAGCCACGTTGCAAACTGTTTTAATTTTTGGATACATTTATAATTGCTTATGTGCCCTTTAAGTTTTTCAATAAATGTTTCTTCTTCCCAGATTCCTTTCTTTTTTTTCACAGCTTTCAGTTCTGCTCGAAGTAGCCTCTTGTGAAGTTTCCAGTATATCCGGGATTCATGAGCTAGTCCTTCAATACGAACTGTCTTGCCAAGCCCTTGTTGCAGGATCTCTTCATTTAGACAAATACTGGAAAATCTCCCCTGTTCAAAAAAGACATTAAAATTTTGCATAAGACATATTATGCCAACTCCAGTAATGAATAAACATTAAAGCTGAATTTCTATACACCATCCTTCTCCAACGTGAGTACTTCTGGATGCGCTAGGACGGCTATTTCTAGATTCCCAACTTTTGGCTACGTTGGTTGGTGTCCATGCACACCAACCCCCGCTCCCTCCAATATAAAAAATATTTTGCCAAATGTTTGTCCAGGACATTGCATAACATTACATAGCATCCCTGAATCCAGAAATGATGCAGGACCTTGCTATAAGTTTTTACTTGGGCGTAAGAGTCACTGAACTCAGTATAAATTATTTCACACTAAACATTCTTACTGTTTGTCCTCATGGAAATTCTTCTATTTCCTCTGAACATTTACTCACCTTATTTACTATTACAAAGCAATCAAGTCCTGAATTTTTTCTGCCCAAAAGCTGGAACCAAATCATTTGTGAAGGTTTTATTTCTTCTTTTAACCAGATTACACCATCTGGTGCTAACTCCACACCAGCCAGCCTGACAAGCAACAAACCATCTGAATGCCCTAAAAATGATATATACACATTAACAGTTGTTTTACTACAACATTGGTAAAAACACTTCATTTAGGTCACTGATCTAAACGATTAAAGGAGAAGTAGAACAACTAGAATTTTGGTCTCCAAGATTTAATTGAAAGATTCTACAGGCAATGTTAATGTTCTTATTGTTAAAGGTGTTAATGTTTTCTATGGCTGAATAAAGCTAAAAACTACTTCAGAAATCAACTATCCAAAAGTGGCTGTTCCATGTGTGGAACAATTAGTATACTGAATATTTTATTTGGAAAAGACTCTGATGCTGGGAAAGATTGAAGGCAAAAGGAGAAGAGGACGGCAGAGGATGAGATGGTTAGATAGCATCACTGAAGCAATGAGCATGAAACTGAGCAAACTCAGGGAGGCAGTGAAGGACAGGAAGGCCTGGCGCAATATGGTTCATGGGGTCACAAAGAGTCGGACATGACTTAACAACTGAACTACAACAACAATATTTTGCACATCTCTCATTTTTCTAAATCATGGAATGACACAGAAATGGCCAAGAACTGCTTCACTACTGGTCTTGAATTCATTGCATGGTGTTGATGACGACTGAAAATAATTATAAATATCTACTTCAAGTGAGACTACATGAGTGAATATAGAAAGTGGTAAGTAATGTGCACTTATGTAAACTGAAATCTATTCAGGTAATCTATGAAGCAGACCTGAAACAAGGCTCTACATCTTTAACATTAGTTTTTATTCATTTAAAAAAAATATTTTGTATTGTTGCTTCAATTCCTGTTAATGTAGAAATGCAGGCTAAAAATAATGTCAAATCTATAGTTAGATCACTCAATAAAAGTACTATGTTGTTGTCTCTTGAAGCAAGAAAACATTGAGGAGATTTTATTTATCAAAACTTGCCCTTCAGCTCTGGTGAGCCCTTGACACAGCTAACGAAACTTAACATAAAACAGAACTTAACATTCACAATAAAATAAACACTAACATTGTCTAATAATTAAAAGTCTAGCAAAAAAAAAGATCTTTATCTATTTCCTAAACACTGAAAAAGCAGGAAGCAAATGCAACTCTCCCTTCTCTCCCCAGATTTTCCCAGAAATCTGAGCCTCTGACAGTGAAGACTTCTTAAAAGGGCCTCTCCTGCTAATCTTAACTGGACAAGCGTAACAAAAGGGAAGTCCTGAAACTCATACTCTAAACCACTGAAGCCTTTAAAAGTCAATACCAGCATCTTAAACTGTACCCAGCAAACATCTGGCAAGTAGCACAGAGATTTTTTAATACAGACATAATATGCACTGTTTAGCAGCCTAGCTAATATAGTTTACATCAACAGCAACTTCTGGACATTTTAATTGATAGTCCCATCTCATGGGATATTTTCATGGGTAGTCCCATCTTGAGTCCAGGTAGACCAGACCATGAATCACTCCCCAGGAAGGTTAAGGGTACTTTATTGAGTGGCTATAATAACATAATCTTGCAGGTCTGTGCAGTACAAGTAGTCCTCGAGTTACCACCATTCATTCGAAGTTACAGTGGTGCTGAACGAAGGGACTTACGACTGGTCCTCGAAGTCCTGGCTGTTGCAGCATCCCCGCAGTCACCTGAACAAAATTCCAGTGCCTGGCAACCAGCTTCTACTTACGACCAGTTGCAGCATCCCACGTGATCACCATCTGCGACCTTCCCTGGGGTAAGTCTCCCACCTTTCTTCGCTTGCATGCACTGTACCCTCCTTCACTTGCACATACCCTGCGCCCTCCTTCCATGGCCTCCTTGCAAATGCACACATGCATGCATGTACCCCGTGCCCTCTTTCTATGGCCTCCCTGCAATTGCATACATGTACCCCATGCCCTCTTTCCACAGCCTCCCTGCACTCACACATACACATGCACGTACCCTGCACCCTTTCCTTGGCCTCCCTGCACACTCACACACATACCCTGCACCCTCTTTCCTTGGCCTCCCTGTGATTGCATGTACCTTGCGCTGTCATTCCCCAGCCTTTCTGAGCTCGCGCCACACCAAGCACCCCTTTCCTCGACTCACATGTGGCCTACACCAGGCTCCCAGGGTCCCCCTGCACTCCTTACCTGGGACTCCCTCTACTTCCCACTTAATAACTCACATGTCTTGGGTTACGACAATTAGGATTGCCTGGATTGCCACTGCTAAGTGATGCAATGTTTTATGACCACATCGTATTTTATGACCGCATCACTTAGCGACCACAATCCTGGTCCCAACTGCACTCATAATTCAAGGACTACCTGTACCTCTTCCTCCTTCTTACAGTTTGATAAATTAGGGAGATTCTGTCTGAGATGCTTATGCATACTTTCTATGCTAAGTTTTGGACTTAAATCATGTTTTTCTCCTTGTTGCTTTGGTCGCGGATCTGTCCTATCTTTATCAAGGTCATCATCCTTACTTTCTATACAAGTATACTGCAGTAGTCAATGTGGGATGTAGTCAAAGCATGAATAATCACAGTCAAAATTGATGAGCCTGGGAAGGGGATGTAGTTGGCATACCACATATAAATGTACAAAGGCACTTCTCACAACAGCCACCACCAGTGGTTCCAGTGACAGCTAAGGAACACAGAGCACTCAAAGACTGTAAATCTACTCTTTAATCTACTCCATTCAAAACAGTCTGAACCTTAATCTCTGCAGGTTTTGATTTATTAATAGCACCCACAGTCTGTATTTAACTTTTTCCTTACCCAGCCCAATATGGTGCTTCAGTGGCATTCAAGGGTAGCCAGCGTGGTATAGCAGTGCAGAGTAATGTAGTGTATTTGGACTAGGACTGAACCAGGTTGAAGTCTGCCCTTAACCATGGAAATTCACTATGTGATTTTGAACCAGTTGCTGTCTCTCAGTCCAACTTACCTCACATGGCTGCTGTCATGGGGATAAAATGAAAGAAGATCCCCATGTAAGTCACCTTGAGTCTTAGAGGAAAGGCAGGACAGAAATCTCCTAAATAATGGTTCCTTCTAGAGGGGGAAAAGACCCTCTAACATAAGCAAACACATTATTTCTCTTGCTATTTCATTTCATTTTTTTTCTTCCAGAAGCTCAAGTCAAGTATGTCCCCATTTTATCCTCATACAGGTAGTCCTCATTTAGTGACCACAATTGGGAAGGTCGTAAATGCGAGCACTGGTCATAAAGTTACTTTTTCATCACCACTGAGACTGTGAAATGGTTACTAAATGAGGCAGTCACTAAACGAGAACCACCTGTAAAGTCATTGTGAGATTTCAGGCTGAAAGACATTGGCTCACATGGCTCAAGTCATCCACACAGCTGAAGAGTACATGAACTTCATTCCCAGCCCAACACTCCATCAACTATACTGTGTTTATAGTCAACACTAGAGTTTCCACTGCCCCATTACTTAATACCTCCTTAACTTAAACACCACAGGGCCAGGAAAAAGTGCCAGCATGGGAAAAAGATGAAGCCACCACCAGATACAGTAAGGATTCTCATACCAGATCCAAAGAATTCTTGCCCACTTTGGATCTGAATACTGCAGAACTTTAACACACGTGGTCAAATATAGATTGCATTCATTTTTCATATGAATTTTCTAAAGATGGTTATTCAATCATGTTTAGAATTCCTTAAATTCAAAATCTACAAAAAATGAATGCAAGTTTAACTTTGCCACTATAAAGTTACCCATCTTACTTACATCTTTTCTGCAGAGATGAAATGATTGGAAGGGTAATAGGTACATGTTCAATTTCTAATCCTTGCTCAGATATTCGATGTAATTGTCCCCGTAGCTTAACATTCTTCTTTATAAATTCCGGGGGTATTTCCAAAACATTTGTGAATTTGGTTGTCTATTCATAGGAAAGAAGGAATATAAGCATGGACACCCACACATATAAATATATTTGGTTTTTGTGTACATATATGTGTGTATAGTACATATATATTTATTCCTTTATAAGATTAAATAGATAATTATACAAAATATATATTTTATATAACATTTGAATATATATATAATAAATGCAAAATGATCCTTAGTTTATCTTGCTCAAAGTTTCCCATATATTATCCATTAAAAAGGCCTATTTATTGACTAATTCTCACTCTATAAACTGTTATGAAGCCTGAACATCAATGGTTTCATGAATGATACCTTCAGCATACCATTTTGGTATGAAGACTTTGAGATGAAATAGAATTTATACCCAAATAAAAAACATTTTATCACCCCCAATTTTATTTAACTTAGAGCCTTTTCATATTTTATACAGAAATAAACTTTGATTGCCTCTAAGTGTATATTCAATTGATACCCTACTTTGAAAGAAGTAGAAAGAAGGAGAAAGGGGTAGATATGCAAGTAGGGTTTCCTACCAGACTGGTCCTTGGGATATGCTGTTCATATAACATCTCCCCTCTGTTCTATAAATGTTAGAACCAGGATTTAAATTATTTGCACACTGTCTCTCTTGTTCTCTTACAAGGTCTCTTTGTGAACATAAAAACCCTTGAAAACAATGTTTGAAGGTCTGTAAATAAACTAAGTAACATAATTCCAAGAAATGTGCTCAGTATGGCATTTCAAGGTCTAAAACAACATTTTTTAAAAGCAACAAGCATATTTTAAAATAAACAATATTCAAATTTAGGAATATTTATGGCAACACATTTGTTAGTGTTCATTGTAAATTAAGACCCCAAGTACACTGAAGCTGAGTTCTGTGTTCAATTTGTACAGTACCAATAAAGATAAGCCATTAAAATGTTGTAATCAGTAGAATACATATATGAAATTAAACTCCTGCAAATATTTTATTTAATGGCTTCTTTTTCTAATACTCAGTAGTGAAAGGCTTTGGCAGGCTCCTTGCTTAGGAGAATTCATCAAATAGGGCCGCTGCTGAAAAGCCTCTGTGCCGTATTTCAGTCAGTGGCAAAGTCTTCCACAAGAAGGCCTCCATGCCCATATGGATACAGATAAAGTAAAATCCCTAAAGCCTATAAGACCCTAAACATTGTTTATAGTTTTTACAATCCTGCCAAAAAAGGCAAACAAGCCTCAAAGCAATAGAAATCTACTTTCCACTAGCTTTGGAAAGACAGAACAGGTCTTTCTCATTTAACGACAGAAATTGGGACTGGAATTTCTGTCGCTAAATGATGCAGTCGTAAAACCCGACATCACATGACTGTGCCGCTTAGTGATTGATGGGAATTCTGGTTGTCATCATTAAGTTTATTGCACTCCATCATTACACATGTCACATGGTCGCCATTTGCGACCTCCTGCCAGCTTCCTCACTGACTTTGCTTGTTGGAAGATGTCAGTGAAGGTCACAAATGGCAATCGTGTGACCGCAGGACACTGCAATGTCATAATTGTGAGTCGGTAACCAAATGCCAGGATCATGATGACGCGATCACAGGGATGCTGCAACGGCCACAACTACAAGGTTATAAATACCACTCGTTCGGCACCATTGTAACTTTGAACAGTCAGCCCCAGTTCTGCTCTGCTATGTTCTGGGAAGGATGAGTGAGGAGCGTT